GACGAGAGAAGGATAAATTAAAGAGGAGTGAGCATGATTGTGAGAGAGAAAACAGATGAGGGAAAGGTGAGTGTGTGGTGAAAAGCCTAACATGAAGTATACTTCATACTGTTTGCACAAGAGAGCAATGGTAAAAGAAGAGAAGTGATGAATTCAGAGAATGGCTCAGCAAAGACCTTGGTTCTACTTAAATACATTTCCTTGTGCTCCACAGGACAAAAAAAATATGCTTTAGCATTTCCATTTTCACAGCAAAGAGCCTATCTTTGTTGTTTGAATAGGTACTTGCTTAGAGGAAAACAGTTTACTGAAATTTCCAAGGTTACAGCAACTAGCTGTGCTGCCTTATTTCTGACCTGAAAGGCCATATACCATTTTAATGTGCTGCGTTGCAAGCCGATATATTTTGTACTGTTCTGTATTTATTTTTTTAAACTACCAACAAGAGAATTATAGAAAACACAGTAGATTCTAGTTTGATATATCCAGATGGAATGAATACATTGGTATTTGATGTTCTTCTTTAGCAAGCATAGAAAACTTTGCATATTCCCAATATGCAAAGCTTAACTTAAATAGTTAAGCTGGAGGATTCTGGATTCTGAATCCTCAGAATTTTAGTTGTATGTGGTTTACAAGCAAGGAATCAGCAAGGAGGAATATTTGATTAGCTTCTTAAAGGAGGTTTTCAGTGAACTAATTTAATACCAAGAATAGGAGGGCAGCTGGGTTTAACCATTGAAATTGTGCATGCAAGTCTAATTGCATGCAATTTAGACTTGCATGCACCAATTGAAGAACCTGCAAGATACTAGCACTAAATGAACAGCAAAGACAAAATCTACTACAAGGATACTACTCTCCCCAAATAATTTATTAGGGTTGTCAGTATTCTCAAATAAACATAAGTGTTAGACTTGCATCATCAAAATAAAGATGTTACACATTTAAACATTCCAACAGTGCAAACTAATTTCTTTGTAACAATACTATCAACTACAGCTTTAATATTAAAAGAGCATAAACTTTTCATATTGACTTTTGTCCTATAAGATTAAAAATAACAGAGTAACTACAATTTCCACTTGATTCACCTGAATCAAGAGATAAAATATTGATTAGAAATTACACTGAGGTTTTGAGTATTTCATGAATAATAATAAAAAAACAGAAATCTCTGTGGCAAGCTCTGTTTACAAGAACCAAGTGAGAAGCACTTACAAAGACAGACAGTTCACACATACCTGCAGTACTCAGAACTCTGTGCAAATTCCCTGCAAACACATCTACACATGCAGAGCTTTCTTTGCAAAACTTCAACAAATGTCACGAGAAGCTTTTTCACAAACAGACACATACTTGTTCCAAGAGCCTCTGACAAATTGAATCACAATACTTTGCAGAACATGTCAGGTTGTTTAATTTTTACAAACGTGCATGAATGCCGAAGGTCTCACATGCACATGTGTGCAGCATGACTGTTTGCCTCCCACTTGCAGTGTTTGTGACGCATAGGAAAAGTCATTAGGCCCACACTTCCTCTCCAAAACTGAGGAGAAGGAAGAGTGGTTGTCTTACATGAAACGTACAGGAAATGTGTGGGTGAATGCCAACATAATATGTAAGTGTGTATGCACGTCTCCTAGTCAAAGGTTCAAACCCCTGGGGGCTGGCGACCAAGGTCTTGTAATTGCTTGCCTTTGATTGTGTTCATGGAGTAGACTGCAGCCCACAATTACAGTCATTTCGAAAACTTAACTAATGGTTAGCCTGCTTCACAGACAAGATCTTGTGAGTTCAACACAAGTCCAAAGGTCTCCTTCACATTTTCAGTTCAGATTGAATATCATTAAAACTGTGCACTATTTAAAGTCATTTATTCTGCTTGTGTTCTCACTAAAACCAAGAAGATAGAGCACATAACACCAGTTTTAAAGTCCCTCCACTGGCTCCCTGTAGCTCAAAGAACAGATTTTAAAATACTGTTGTTAGTTTACAAATCACTGAACGGTTTAGCACCACAATACATCAAAGATCTGCTGTTGTTGTATCAACCTTCCAGACCTCTCAGGTCTTCTGGTTCTGGTTCTGCTCTGCATCCCCAGAACCAGAACCAAGAGAGGAGAAGCAGCTTTCAGCATCTATGCACCAAAAATTTGGAACAAACTTCCAGAAAACTGTAAAACAGCAGAAACCCTGACTTCCTTTAAATCTCAACTAAAAACACACCTTTTTAGAATTGTATTTGAAATGTAACATGTAGCAATGTATCGTTTATTCTATGATGCATGACTTTGTGTTTTTGTGTTTATGATGTAAAGCACTTTGAACTGCCTTGCTGCTGAAATGTGCTATACAAATAAAATTCGATTTGATTTTGATTTGATTTAATAAAACATTTGAATATGTATAATATTTTGACAGTGTTATATCACTGATGTTTTTTTGGCATTTTACTCATAAAAGGCAACAACATGTACAGGATCTTAACATATAAAACAGTAGTTTCACAAGTTTCATTTCCCCCCTTTAAACATATGAACATCTGGAACTTCTGCTTTTCAATGGAACTCATGTTTCTAATTGTGTAACTAATCACTTGACATCTAAGGATGTGTGTATGCTTCTCATGGGTTTTTCTTCGCAGGAGTTTATGATTTTGCATAACGTCCAAACCAGCACTTCCTTGTTTGTCTGCCTATGTGTGGGTTGCGTGTTTATCTGCATCCTCAGACAGCATCAACAGCTTGTGGTGTATACATGAATGTATTCATGATGTTGAGTAGGTGTATTCTGTATGTATGTGTCAGCAGAGGAATTTATTTCATTTCAGCATGAGAAGGCAGGCAACAAGGTGGACAGAGACAGACTGGAGCAGCTCTGGAGCTCCAGCAAAAAAATAAATACAGGATGGAAGAAAATGTTTGCCAATGTCTACCAAAGCATGCCTTCATGGTTTAAATATGCAAACCTAACCCAAAGTAAAACAATACCGACTTGCGTATGTATGAACATAACTACCTACACACAAAAATACTCAGACAAGTCATCTAATTTGAACACCGGGGTTGTGCTTGTTGCTGCTATGAACATCTGTCACCCCAGCCAGATGCAGACAACCACAATATAAACAAAACAAAAACGTGATCATGTGCACACAAACACACACAATCACCCCATGCCAGTTCCTCTATATTATAAACACAAGCCACCTTGAGACATATTTTGAGTGACTTTCAAAAGCAACACTTGATACAGAAATCTAATGTCATTCAGTGTTTTAATGACTTGCTTTTTAAAAAGATAAATAAATAAATTTCCTTTCATTTTGAGAACGTGTATTTTTCAGGAGCTGAACAGAGCTCTGGTGGACGCACATCTATTCTTGCGTCCATTCTTTATTTCATTTCAGCATGAGAAGGCACCTCCAGATGAACAAACTTGTTAACATACACCTGCTCAACACAATTATTTCTACACATATGGTCACACACATGCACACATAAACTCCACAACGGTTAAAGGTCTTAGAAATGTGATGTACCTTTAGTACATCAATCTGGGCGTGCATACTTTAATTTTGGATGCAGTCTGGATTCCATCAAGTCAATTACACAATTAACATACCATATCCTTTAAGCAAAGCAAATATGCCTTTGCACCTGTAGGCAACCATTGTATTCACCTAGTATTGGTAAAATACCAAAGACAGGGCATGGGTACAAATAAAAAAAAAGACAGAAATTAAACATTTCTTCCATGTCACAATATATAGAAAGTGTTTAATAAAACTGAGTAGGACATTTGCTTTATATGCAACTTCTTTCTTGTCCATATTCCAACTTCAAAAAGGGACATAAAAGGTTTACATAGACTCTGCTTTGATTTCAGCATTTTTAACAGCATGCTCAGCAAATCAAAATAACATAATTGACATGTATTTTACTGGGCTTCATGTTATCTCTTTGACCCAATTCAAACCAAATCATAATTTGGCATACTTTGATATTTTTATACAAACGTATTGTTCATTTTACAAGTCTGTGTACTTTCAAACCCATTGTCAAATTTTCAAACTTAAGGAACCAAACTATTTGCTATCATTGATGACAAACAACCCTCTCGAAAGGAAGCTGTCTTGCAAGATCCCCAGGGTTACAGCAAGCTATACAGCTGAGTTACCGCCAGCAAACAGACTGTCAGGTGTTGTTTACCAGCATGAGAACCTCTGAGGCAGCTCATGTATGATAGGTTCCCTTCTGAACCTTCCAACCAAAGTAGGAAATCCCCTATACACAACCGACTCTAAAAACATCCAGATGTTAAAAAAAATTCATTATTTTTTTTTTTACTTTTTGGCACAAAGATTTATTTTTTTATTTTACTGTCAGGAATTTGTATTGCAAAAATAATTAAAGTTTATTAAACCTATTTTTAGTGATGTTCATACAGATTCATAACAATTGAAAAAAAAAACAAGCAGTAATTTTAGCTTTATGTCTCTGCAAAGCTTCTCCATCTCTGCAAAATGTTTTATTCCTCCCTTTTAACTGTGAGAAACAGGTTCGTAACATCACCAGGGCACTCTTTCCAGTAGCAAAGTGCAAATAACCCACACAATGTTGCTGGTGCCATTTCAAAACTGTTATAGTCAGAACAGTTTGCAAAGGGCGCCTAGCAGCAGTCAGCAATCCTGTCTCTTGGTGGTTTTATTAAATGAAGGGTGTTATCACTTCTAGTGTTAATCAGTGCTCGTCATCTTGAAATATTTCACTGTCTTCAGTTCTCATCCATAAAAACATGTCCTCATTAAAGGGCATCAACGCTGATTATCAGCCCTTACCTTAATAAATGCTGCTAAATAATAGGCAACATATTAAAAACATTCTGATGTTTCCTCATACTTCACTTTAACAACTAATTACCTCATGAGACCAGGAAACACAGTTGCTTTAACCTACAGAGGTAATTAGTGTATATTGCTACTGAAAGTGCTTTACCTGTGTGGTGTAATTCCTGAGTAAATTCCTTTTGCAGAGGTCTGGAGTTGGAGAGGATTCCTACAGTGTTAATTAAACCGTCTGTCTAGGAAAGAATTAGGGTCGTGATCTCCCAAACCTCAGTACTCCCACGCTCCCTGAGAAGAAAGGAGAGAAGAAAGGAGACTTAATGAAGGAATAAAAAGATAAAATGGCTTAATGAACCACCTAACGAGGCCTGTGGCCATTTAATAATCGCTTATTACAGCTTAATTAGAGCAATAATCCAGTTTGTTTGGAGTCATTCATTGTTGACTAGTGGCTGATTGTGTTTTTATGGCAACGGGGTAAACAAGGAAGGGTCGACGTTCCACAGGGCACGAGTCAGGTTTATCGGCGTGTCTGTATAAATTGGTTGTACTGGATGTTAGCCAGTGATTAGACTCCTTCAAGCATTGAAAAGATGCTACACAGAGGCAGAAAAATAACTTGTCTTGCTCATCTAGTTTAATTTGTGTTTGTTAGGACAGATGTTCAGATGTCCTCTGCTCTCAAACTAAGAACAACTCTCGGAGTGATTCTCAACCCTGGTTCCCAGTTCAGGGGCGCTGCCAGAAGTCTTCGGGCCCAAGATAAAAAATGAAATTGCTAGCTTCAGCACAACATAGAGCAAGGGGAGTGAGGGAGGGAGAGAGCAGCCACACGAGACTGTGATTGACAGTTCTAAAACTCTCCTTTCTCTGATTGGTTGTTTCTAAATAGTACTGTGAGAAGGGAGATGAAAAAAAATTTTTCACAGATTATTTCTATAGCATACGCTCACAACATAATGGCAGTTTTAACAAATATGTAAACAAATATCAACTTTTTAAAAAAATAAAAGTTATATACTGCAGCTTTAATTTGACTGAGGAGAGGGCAGGTCAGGAGGGACGTGGGTTAGAGCTGCTGCTGACTGACTCATCGGTTAAGTGTGGTAAGAAATACAGGTACAAGTTAAATATATGAATATGTTGGTAATTTTATTCCTTCGTTCATAGAATGCTCATGAAATGGAGGCAAACAGTAGTCTGAAGCGGAGCTAATTATGCTAAATGGTTGATAATCTCACAGTCTACCCTTGGAAAAAAACTTGGGTTGTAAATTGACACTCCTGTCTATTTCTCTCTCTATTTGTCTATTGGTTTTTTTCTAAAAAAACCAATAGGACATCCCTGGATTTATTACAGATCCAGGGGGGCTCGGTGCAAATATGGATGTCTGCTTTTTGGTCTGAGAGGGGCAACATTTGATTTTTACTGCTAAAAACTATCTTAGAAGACACAATTTGATTACTTTTATAATTGACAGAGCCCCATTTTTTTTTTCTATGAAAAAAATAAAATGAAATTGCTGGGGGCTCACTGTCGGTCAGGGGCCCTTGGAATTGTAATAACTCCCCCCCCCCCCTACACAGCTCCCCTGCCCCAGGGTCCACTGTCATGTTTTTGAGTTTCTTCGATTCAAGTGAATCAGAAAAAGCTTATTCTCTAATTATTGTGAAACCTCCTGAGCAAAAGCCTGTTTATTACCCATTTGTAATAGTCAGGTGAGTAGCTGGGAAAGAACTGCTGGCTTTGAGGACTGCTGTTCTATATCATCTATAAAAATAACTTTTTTTTTTTTCCTCAGTGGGACAACGGTATCCAATTTGGGCATATTTTTCACCAAGTGAATTACTTGGTACTAGTCTCCCAGAGTCATGCAAGTTCTCCCTTGTGGTCAATGTGTGGCCAATGCCAGTCCCTCAAGTTGTGGGCTTGGCAGCAGGACAAAAATATTGCTTTCAATAAACCCCAAATATTAGGATTACTATGTAGTATAAATCATAGTTGGGCTCTGCACTTGCGTCTTCGCAGTGAAGGATGCTTGTTTACAACCCAGGCAATTTCTGGTAAGCTTCATAGCATTTAATGGTACGGTTGGATAAAATATAAAACCTCAACACAGTCCATGCCACCAGGAACCAATCATTTCTGAGACATTCTGTACAAAGCAAAGTGTAGTACAAGGAGCTAGTTTTTCCAACAGGCTAGTAATTACCCACTTTGATGCATGCAAATATTGTAGTGATTAATTTATATTTCTTTTTGTCCAAGTAACACTGTCCCTCAAGAATTATTCATGGTTTGATTTCAATCTTAGAGTATGATTATGTGATGACTATCATGCAGAGAAGAGACAGATTTTCAGCTTGATGCCATCAGACTGATCTCTCACCTTTTACTATTGCCTTTGCAGGAAACAGTGCAAGAATCCCTCCATCTTGGTGTCTAACTTTGTAAAATAATGATGCACATGCTTTGTTTGCCTGATGATTCAATTAGCACATTGATTCAGCCACTATAGAAAAAACAATGCAGGGTCCTTTTCATAGGCATTAGCATGACTCAGATGAATCACAGACCAAGCACTTGTGCCAGGAGAGCCATCTGAAGAGTATTGCATATAGGGAACACGTGACACATCAAATTTTCATTACTCATGCTGGGATCCCATCACCCTTTCAAGGACTGACTCAGTCTCAGCATGGGCTGTATACTGCTGGTATTTGGCATCCAACGACTACTCTTATGCCTACGGTTCCCTGCACTGATTCTGAATGATTCATGCTGTGTCAGTGATTCTGACACAAGTCTAAGAAAAGACTTCATAGACTTTTGAATAATTACTGATGCTATCGATGAGAGAAATTTAGCTTTCTTTCTTCCACATTTCAATAATAGATGTGAAAATATACAAATAAATAGATTTGCTGTTTTGTTTTTTTTTTACTACTTTGTCAAGGTTCTATTACAGTGAAGTGATGGCAGCTTTCTTACATGTTGAATTAAAAATCCTTTTCAGCCTCTCTTCTAGTCTGAATTTAATCTATAGTCTTCAACATTGTTGCATTATAGGATTTTAAATTGGAATGTCAATTTGTTATATACTGCCATTTGTCACATTTCAATTTGGGTGCGTGTTAGCTAAAGCCATATTTAGTTACTCCGTATACTAAACTGCAACAGGGTAAGAATTATGCAATTTCCCCTAAAGGGTGAAAGAAGTGTTGCTCCAGGAACATATTAAATGATTTGCTCTCAGAACATCACACAGAGATCTGTGACAGTATTTCATGAAGAACATTTGAACCCTTAGCATCGCAGCTCACAGACCATGTATCCCATGTCTCTGACAATCTGCTAAAATAAAATCCCCCTCTTGTTCATTTCCAGACCGCCAAACAGCTGATGAGTCCCGTCGACGAGCCCACGATTTCCATCCCTGTCATATGCTTTCTCCTGTCTAGACACATGTCAATTTTACGTCTGCGGCTTTGGCATGACAGTTATTGTTCTGCAGTGTATGAATGATGTCAACAGATTTTTAACATGGGAAAGCTGATAAAAAAAAAATTCTTTGAACGATGCCACCAGATCACGGCATTTACACTTTTCTGCTCCCCACTTCTGCCAGTTGTATGAAAAGAAAAGAAAGAATAGTCTCATCTCTGTAGGTGTATAAATCTTTGACATTTCAATCAGCTCTAATGAGCTCAGGGAGACAATGATGATGTCAGGGGTAGTCATGGCAGTTCCAGTCAGGGCATTGGTCATGGTGTTTACTACAATGATGATATTGTTCCATAAACATTTTGTTCTTTTTCTGTTTAATAACATTAGTTGCTTGTTATGTGTCTCCTAGTAGATTTGAATTGACCTGCAGAAAATCAAATCAAATTTGCTCACAGTTGGCAAAGTTGGGTATGTTGATATTTTTATAATAAATAAAGGTTTCACAAATTATGTTAAGAGTCTGGAAAAAGTGTTGTGTAATTCAGTCTGGAGTTATTGAACAAAGAAAGTTCTTAGCTCGATTTCAGTTTCCTCCTTTGACACATGTTCACCTTAGTAAGGCACTTAAGCTCAAGTTGATTACCAATTAGTATATGAATGTGCACATATTTGTGAGTGTGACTCTACTTTAAAGAGTTATGACTGGTCAGTAGGACTAGAAAAGAGCTGACAATTCAAAGAGAATACAATACAAAGAACCATTTAATGTTGACGTCATTAGCTGCTTGTGTCCCTCTGTCTCCATCTGCTTTTGTACAAAATACCCAAAAGGCTACTCCACAAATAATTTATAGGTGCCAGCAGCAGCTTTGCTACTTTTGTAAGTGTTCCCTTAGTCTTCATTAGACAACTATGTCAACACTACATTGCAGGAAAAAAAAAAAAGACCTAGTTTTATTCTAGCTCAGTTCACATGTCTCAAAAGAAACAGCATGGGGCAATATAGCATGTTGCTATGATGTTCTAACATTGCAAAAAACATTTTCAGTTATGGCATTTTCTATGTCAGAAGTGCCCATTTATTCACTGACCTCTGATATTCCTATTCTATTGTATCTAGAATGTAGAACTCAGAGAGCGTTAAAACAAGAAAATTAGAGTCACGAGAACATATCCTGTGTCTTTCAAACCATCACAGAGATGGTCCATCAAGAAACTCTTGGGACACATTTTAACACAGTGTGTGCTCTTGTTAGTTGCATTTTCTAACAAGTCTAGCAAAGGTCTAGGCTAACTGTTATCAAAAATCAAAGTCTACATAGTCTCTATATAGTCTATATAGTGGTTGGACATCATTTTTACGTTGCTCACCCTGGAGCCTTTTGTTTGAAAACCTTGAGTGGGTCTAAAAGTCTGTTGTGATTGCATTATTATGTACATATTTTGTTTCCAGCCTGTTACACTTAGATAAAAAAAAAAAAACAATCAGAATATTTTTTGTAGAGTGAAAATTCTGAATTTGCTAATCTAACCACTTTTCAAACAGAGAGCTTCTTCTTTCTGCAGTTCTTCTCAGGGTTACAGTTACTTAGTCTGTGCCTTTAAAACGAAGGCCACAGTAACATATTAGCGGATGAAAGTGCTCTGTTCAAGCCCTTTAAATACATGAGGCAATGGTGACCAGACATCCATATTAAGCCCAACTTTATAAAACCTCTAACAGTATGTTTTGTTTGTTTTTTTTTCTCACTGGAAATAATGATGTTTTGAAGTGGCCCAGTCTGTCCAGATAATCTGTGGAAAGAGCTAAAGATATGGCTGATGACTAGAAGGCCTTCAAA